AATAATAGAGATCACTAATTAAAACTTAGTAGTAGCTAGAAGACAAACTTTGTCTTATAAAGTTTTTCAAATTGAATTAAACTCGTTACAATTAAAGTAAGTAAATACACCATGCATTATAGAGTGTATATAGTCGTTGTAGCCTTGTAGCCAAAGGCAGCTATAATTGGAAAATCATAGAGAATCCAACTTTTTCCCTTGGAATTCTACAATATGCTTGTGATTTAAGAGATCATATTTTAGCAAATTAATTGTACATTTTAATATATTATTACTTCTCAAAACTGTTGACATTGTTCCCATGTCTCCTCCAGTAATTTAATCTCTCTGATCAACAATAGAAATTGTTTTTGATCAAACCAATAGATTCTGCCGGGCCATATTGCTCTTTAGTCTTCATGTTACGTATTATACGAAAACAAATAAAACCTGAAAAATATACGATGTCAACATTATATGACGCAGTCAAAAACACAAATTATTCTTGGATATGATGTTGAATTAAACTAAGAACCATATACGTAAACCATAATCAGAAAGAGATTTGATTCGGGAGACAAAAGTTTGCATCTTTGTGCAAGCCATTAAGTATCAAATATATTTGCTGACAAGAAAAGTATGAGATCTTTTATTTTTGAACTAACAAAGTTATGGCTAACGGTTGATATTTAATATTTTGTAACTTATAAGTTATATAATTGGTTTTGTGCAAAACAATCCTTAAACTATTTTTTTGTTTGCAAATCAAACCCTCAATTAAAAACCGTGCAAGTCAATCCTATGAAGTCAAAAGTTACCGTTCCTTCTTAGGTACCAGCATAATAGGAAGAGACAGAGCTACGATTCCCCAGGGCGAGGGAAAAAGACTGACCCGCAATATAGAATATATGTATATTTGTGACAAAATTTAAAAGATATATGTGAAAAAAACCCTGCTAACTAAATTCTTTTTGCAAATTTAACCACCCAACTTAAAAAATATGCAAATCAAACCTTGAAGTCAGAAATCACCGCTGTAACAGACCTATGTGTATTTGTCGTTAACTGTAAATAACGATTCAAAATATCATGCCATTTATAATATTTTAACTAACTATTTTTATCTTTGCACAAAAAAAAACTAACTATTTTTTATCTTTGCGCAAAAAAATTAACTATTTTTATCAAAATTAACTTTGAAAAACAAAAACAAAAATCTTCAATCTCTCTTTTCGTACTCCTCCACCATTATGAGCTTTTCTAGAGTAATTTTTTACTCCCTCCATTTCATATTAGTTGTAATTTTGAGAAAATGTATATACAATGTATATACAATGTATCTAGATGTATGAAGCTCTAAACACATCGAGATACATCCAAATATATTGCATATACATTTTTTCAAAAACGATAAATAATATGAAACGGAGGGAGTATGAGTAAGCTGATTTTCTTTCTCATGATATGATTAGGTTTCAAAATCAAGCTTCGATTTTGTTGTTTTGTTTTATGTTGATCTTTTGGTGTATGGAGAAAGGAATTTCTGTGATTATGATGCTATAATATCTAAATATCATTGCCTATGAGTAGGAGTTTAGATATTAGATTATCTAAATAAGCATCAAAATCACACATATTTACATAGGTTTGTTTTGATAAAAAAAAAGTTAGTTAAAATGTTGTAAATGGCATAATGTTTTGATTCACCGTTTACACTTAACAACAAATACACTTGGGTCCATTTCGGCGGTGATTTACTACTTCGAGGTTTGATTTGCATATTATTTAAGTTGGGGGTTAAATTTGCAAAAAAAATATTTAGTTCACGGGTGTTTTTGCACAAAACTCTTTTGAAGTTTGTCACAAATATACATAATACATGTCCTATAATGCGGGTGACTTTTGACTTTATAGGATTGACTTACACGGTTTTTAATTGAGAGTTTGATTTGAAAAAAGAATTTAGTTTGAGGGTTGTTTTGCACAAAACCCTTATATAATCAATCTATTTTATATAATTTTTGTCAAACCCATGAACTTTAAAATTTAATTTCAAGTTTGTTTTCAGTTTTCACTTATGGTATTTCTTAACTCAGAAAGTGAGATACAAAAGCATAAAGGACCTAATGGGCCTTATGCGCTGAGATGCAATATTCTATCAAGTGAGGCTACAACCTTATTAAGAGACTAGTAAAGAACCCGCACATTTGTGCGGTGTGATGTTGCAGTTTGAGCGGTGTGACGTTGCGGTTTAGTGAAGAAAATATAATACCTTAATCACGAAAAAATCAATCTCAGAATATACCAGTTCATGAAATTCTATCAATAATTTTTATCTTAAGGGAACAAAATGGGTATTTATACTACTAAAATTGAAGTATTTGTGGTTTTTCATGAAACCTCGGAAAAATCAACAAAACCCGTTAAAAATCATTCTGGTTTTTATATCTGTAAATCCAAATCACCTAAAATCTGAAACTCGTTTAAATTTTAAAAAGTTTTTAAAAACTCAAAATCCTGAAAAAAAACCTGGAAAAGTTCGTACCGAACCCGAACCAAAAAGTTTAGAAAATGGAACGTTTTTATACCTCTAAATATGAAAACCCAAAAACAAAAAAAAACTGACCCAAAACCAATGCGAAACCCAAACTGATTTTTTTTTTTTAAACAAATTTTTTTTATATTTCTGAAAATCCTAAAAATCTTCCAAAAAATTCAAAAAAATCCAGAAAAAAAATTTGAACTGAACCCAGAAAAACATAAACCGAACCTAAACCAAAATATAGAAAAACCGTCTAGTTACATTTGTTGAAAATTGAAACATAAAGATGAAGTTTATTTTGATATCATCTTGTTGTTTCTCTTGTGTTTTCTACTGAAAAAAAAAAGTTGTGTAATAAATCACTATCACTATATATTTAAAAAAGTTTTTACAAATGAAAAACACAAACAAAGACACGTGTTCTCCTTTTCTCCAGCTTAGAAACCTCTTCACTTCTCCTTCTCGTTTCTCCACCGAAGAAAACATTTACTTTACTTTCTTGCTCTAATTGAGTTTATACATATATTTTGATCCTATCTTCTCCATCAACCCATCTCTACATATACTTTGATCCTTTGAGTAACAGAACAATCTTGCCTTCTTTCAAGTGTATCATCTTCTTCTTCGTTTTTCTTCTCCAGAAAAACCAATCAATATGGCTAAGGAACTTGCGTCCAAGGCTCATGAGGCTTTCGACTTTCGTAGACGACGACTTCGATATTGATGGGGACTTGTACTCAAAAGCCATTGAATTGGATCCTAATTGTGCCGATTGTGCTCAAGCTAACATCAAACTCCAAAACTTCTTCCTTCTGTAATAAAAAACGATACTTTGTTGAAGAACATAAATCTTCGTCATTGAGCTTCTGGGTTGTCATGTCCTGGGTTTCTTGTTTCGTTTTTCTGTATGGAGATTCTGCAAATTGACATTTTAATAGCATGTGTTTAGTAGATTCAGTTTTCTGTTCTGTTCAACCCTTCTGGCGACTCTTGAAATCGGACTCCACCTGGTTTGGGAAAGCCAAGGTAATTGTCTTTACCTCATCCTCAGTCTCTCTTCCGAAACAATTTTGATAATTTCTTCTCCATCATCCTATTCTTGAGGTCTTTTTTGATTGCCGTGGAAAATTTGTTTCGGCTTATGGTTCATTGATCATTTGACTCACACTTATATAGTAGTAGGTATGTAGGGTTTCTCATTCGGTTTATTGCTCTTTCACAATTGGAAAATTTCCAAATATTATTGGATCATATTTCTTAAGTATCAAGGCTCTTTTGATTTGATATTATCGTTTTTATGCTTTCTAGTTTATGGAATTGAAGTGATTAAGACGTGAAATATATTCCGATTTTATTGCCTTTTTTTTTTGAACGACCCGATTTTATTGCCTAAATTGTTATTTTTCTATTAAACTTGTTTGATTCCATTTAATTGTTTCCAAGATTTGGTGTTATTCATAATATTAATTTCGGTTTCATTTAACAAATTTATGGCATTATCTTCTTTTTTGGAAATATGATCGATATACTTTATCAAAAAAGAAATATGATCGATATATTAACTTTTTAAGGAGACGAACCGATTTACAAAAAGAATGGTTTCGGTTTGACAGAACCGTTAATCAGATTCTCATCTCAACATATGGTTTAATTTAAGTGAACAAAGATCCGCGTCCTATTCAGTGGGTTAATGGGTGGGTTATTCGCGATTTAATGCTGTTTGGGTGGGTTATTCGCGAGTCACCGAGTTAACTGTTGTTTTTACTAAATTACCCCTCCCTATACCTGTTGCCAAACACTTTTTCTTCATAAAGGGATTGGTTTTTTGGTCCAAAAATTGTCAATGTACTTCTCAATTAATAATAATAAAGAGATAAAACCCAATAATCAATTATGTAGCAACAAGCCAACAAGTAACCAGAAGATGCTCATTTAGTCATTTATGTGGATCTTGGTTTTATATAAACGAAAATCCACAAACTAAAACCAATGGAAAACAAAGGAAATATTCGAAGAAAATGGCGAGCAATGTGATGACTAATTAATGTATACTCTAACCAGCAGGATCTTCTGTATAGTTCCTTCTGAGTTTGTCTATTTAAATTTTGTTTCTATTTCAGTTGTCCAAAAAAATTAATAAATCAATCTTCATAATCTTTTCATTACCGAAGAAAATTATAGTATATCTTAGCAAGTTATCACAAAAATGCAATTATATTAGCTTTTCGATTCTGAAAAAGGACGAGCAGTACTGAAACTGAAGAATCAAACACCAAAGAAAATAGAATGAAGCATATAAATTAAGCTAAAAGTGATAAAAATCAATTAGACAAAATAATAAAAAGAAGAAACACCATTACTAATTGCAACTTTTTAATCAACTTCCTCCATCTTGCCTTCAGCACCATCATCTTCAAGCGGAGGCATCTCTGCATCACCTTCAACGGCATCATCATCTCCTCAATGCTCAATCCAAGCTTCAACATCCTGTGGATTCTGCTCCCGAAAGTGTTGGGCTCGTCGAGGCTGAAACCAGAAGTGAGAAGAGCAGTCTCAAAGAGAAGAAGAACAGATCCTTCACGGACTTGTCGTTCTTGTCCGCTTCAGCTCTCTTCCTCAGCTCGTCCATGATCGAGTTCTCTGGGTTGATCTCCATCGTCTTCTTGCTCGACATGTACCACCCATGCTGCTGTCTCTCAAAGCCTGAGCTTTCATGATCCTCTCCATGTTGCGGTCCAGCCGTACTCGCCGGTGACAAGACAGCAAGGTGAGTCCACAACACGGTCAGAGACGATAACCTTCTCGACCTTGTCTCCCAAAACGTCCTTGATCACTTTGCAGAGTCCTTCGAACTTCTCCTTTAGCTCTTCCTTCTTCTTCTTCTCGTCTTCAGTCTCTTCGAGTTTCAGACCTTCCTTGTTGCAGAGACGAGCTTCTTTCCCTCAAACTCCTTGAGCTGACCAATGGCGTACTCGTCAATGGCATCAACCATGTAAAGAACTTCGTACCCCTTCTTCTTGAGCTTCTCGAGGAATGGAGAGTTCTCCACAGCCTTCTTGCTCTCACCGGTGATGTAGAAGATGTCCTCCTGACCTTCCTTCATCCTCGTCACGTAGTCCTTGAGGCTGGTCAATTCATCACCGCTCTTGGTTGAGTGGTAACGGAGCAACTCAGCGATCTTGGTTCTGTTCTGAGAGTCCTCGTGGATACCGAGCTTCAGATTCTTGGAGAATGCCTCGTAGAACTTGTTGTAGTCCTCCTTGTTCTCAGCAATCTCAAAGAAGAGCTCAAGGCACTTCTTCACAAGGTTCTTGCGGATGACCTTGAGGATCTTGTTCTGCTGCAAAGTCTCTCTGAGATGTTGAGAGGAAGATCTTCAGAGTCGACAATACCCTTGACGAATCCAAGGTACTCTGGGATGATGTCCTCACAGTTGTCCATGATGAAGACACGACGGACGTAGAGCTTAATGTTGTTGGCTTCTTCTTGGTGTCAAAGAGATCGAAAGGAGCTCTCTTGGGAACGAAAGAGGATAGCCTTGAACTCGAGCTGTCCTTCAACAGAAGTGCTTCACAGCCAAATGCTCTTCCCAGTCATTGCTGAGACTCTTGTAGAAGCGGCGTACTCCTCCTTGTTGATCTCCTCTGGCTTTCCTCATCCAGATAGGCTTCTGCTTGTTCACCAAATCCCACTCGTGAGAAACCTCCTTGATCTTCTTCTTCTTCTCCTCTTCTCCTTCTCCTTCTACCTCCTCGACCTTGCCTTCCTCATCCTTCTTCTCTTCCTCGTCTTCATCATCAGAAATCTCCTTCTCAATGGTCTTCTCAGTCCAGAGAGAGATAGGGTAGCTGATGAACTCAGAGTGCTTCTTGACCAAATCCTTAAGCCTCCTCTCCTCAAGGTACTCCAACTGGTCTTCCTTGAGGTAAAGAGTCATCTTCGTTCCCCTACCAAGACTCTCACCAAGTGTCTCTGGTCACGGTGAAAGATCCACCAGCCTGAGACTCCCAACGTACTGCTCGTCATCGTTGTGCTTGGTGGTGACAATGACCTTATCAGCAACAAGGTAAGCCGAGTAGAAACCAACACCAAACTGCCAATCATGCTAACATCAGCTCCAGCAGCCAACGCCTCCATGAATTCCTTGGTACCAGACCTTGCAATTGTTCCAAGGTTGTTCACCAAATCAGACTTGGTCATCCCGATACCACTCGATGATGGTCAAGGTGTTGTTAGTCTTGTCAGGGATGATGAAAAAGCTCTGGCTGACCATCGAGCTCTTATCGGTCAAACTCGAACCTAATCTTGTCCAAAGCATCGGAGGAGTTGCTGATGAGTTCACGAAGGAAGATCTCTTTGTTGCTGTAGAAAGTGTTGATGATTAGGGAGAGCAATTGGTTGATCTCGGCTTGGAAAGCAAAAGTCTCTGCCATCTTGTTGATCGGAAGTTTCAAAGTTCTAGGGTTTATGAAGAAACAATAGAACACAAAGGTTTTGGTTTCTTTTCTTTTCTTAGAGAGAGCAGTGAAAGTTTTGATGCGAAATAAAGAAGAGGAAGCTATGTGTATATATATATATATATATATATATATATATATATATATATATATATATATATATATAGATATCGGTGGTACCTATAGGCCATAGGATTAGGAAAAGAAAACCAAAGTTTTCCTTTATTTTGTTTAAAAGGATAATTGCTGATATAAAAAAGAACTACAGTTTGAAAATTTGGTAAAATAACTTATCAAGAATATAAGGAAAACTTCTTTTACCAAAGTTTCGAGGTTTTTCTAGTAGCAAACTTTATTTTAAACAAAAGATCAAGAAAGTTTACGAAAAAAGGAAATTTTTTTTTTTATTCATCATAATATTAAAATAGAAAGAGCATAGTTTCTCTTTTTCACTCTCACAATGAAAGAAATGATGATGTGCATGGCTTTGAGGTTATATAGAATCAAATACAAAGACTAAAATGTCACATAGAGGTGGACTATAGTTATTATATTACGTCTCTAAATTATGGATATAGCATGGCTATATATTATTTTTTAGTTTAATATGGTTAGTGAGCAAATTGACCTTTATTTAAATGATCTTGTTCGACTGGAAAAACAGAGGTTTGGTTTCAGGCAGCATAAGTTTGATATTTTGTCAACAAGTCAAATTTAGAGATCGGATGGTTGACTGCAATGTGAGACGTGAGTTGACCAGATTTTTGACATGGCTAAAACAAAGAGTCGTAGACGACTAGAAGAAGGTATCAATGCAGTTGCTGACTGCAAATAATTAATAAAATATCAAACAACAGAGAAATCACTATACATAATTACATATGATACAAAAAATGTACCTTATCAAGAAAAAGTGATAGTTGGGCATATGACTATGACAATAAACTCTACATTTTTCCTTGAGATCTCATTTTTTTGTGTGTGGAAAAGTTTACAATGATGTGACTTGTTTCGTGGCCAACACATATCGTCGTCACATATGTTATATGTATGTGGATGGTAAAGCGAACGGGGGCTGTGTGAAAGGATTGCTCCTTCTGCTTAGTCAACGTAACAAATTCCATGTGTCCTAGGATGAAAATTGAGTTTTTTTTGCTGGTAAAAATGTAATAAGAGAATTACAGCTATAGTTTTTTTTTAGGGTTTTGTGCAAAACAACCCTCAAACTAAATTTTTTTGCAAATCAAACCCTCAATTTAAAGTTGTGCAAATCAAACCTCTGAAGTCAAAATAACCCCGCAATATAAGACATCTCTATATTTGTGACAAAATTTAAAATGATTTTATGCAAAACAACCCGCAAACTATTTTTTATGTGCAAATCTAACCCTCAACTTAAAAAATATGCAAGTCAAACCTGCAAAATCGAAAGTCACTGCTAAAATGGACTTATATGTATTTGTCCTTAACTACAAACGTTGACTCAAAACGTCATGACATTTATAATATTTTAACCATTTTTATTAAAAGTAAATTAAAAAAAAAACAAAAAAAAAAACTTTAATCTTTAATTTCCTTTCTCTTTCTCCTCTTATTAATAATTTATCTCGAGTAATCTTATCGCGAATAAGTTGATTCTTTTCTTCATGATCTCATTAACTAATGACGACGAAGAGACAAAGATAAGAACTAATTTACTCGCAATAGAATTATTCGAGAGAGGCTCATAAAGACATAGGACTTCAGATCTTCCAAGTAATTATATTGTGAGTAAGTTGGTTCGGTTTTGATTTTCTGGATTGGTTACGGTTTAGTTTTTTTGGATTTGGTTAAAAATCCTAACCCTCTCCTTATTGATGGAGAAAAAAGAGAAGAAATATTGAATTATTGTTTTAAGTATTTTTAATAAAAATGTTAAAATATTATAAATGTCATGATGTTTTGAGTCAACGTTTGTAGTTAAGGACAAATACATATAAGTCATTTTAGCAGTGACTTTCGACTTTGCAGGTTTGACTTGCATATTTTTTAAGTTGAGGTTAGATTTGCACACAAAAAATAGTTCGCGGTTGTTTTGCATAAAATCATTTTAAATTTTGTCATAAATATAGAGATGTCTTATATTGCGGGGTTATTTTGACTTCAGAGGTTTGATTTGCACAACTTTAAATTGAGGGTTTGATTTGCAAAAAGAATTTAGTTTGAGGGTTGTTTTGCACAAAACCCTTTTTTTTACTTGACAAAAAAGCAGAGTTACAGCTATTGTTTGCTTCAGATTCAGATTATTTATCCGGATTGCAAGATCAATTTCGATCCATTAAAAAAAAAGTGGATCCATTATTTTATTTTTATGTTTTTTGGTGACATGAGCGATTTTTAGATAGATTTTGCATTTTTTGTTAACTCAAACTGGTAAAATATAAACATTACAAATGATATTTTTTTTTTCATTTTCAGCAAAAGATAAAATCTGACATCTAAAAGGTTTATGAAGCAATATTGAGCGATGGAAACAGCAACAACAACAACATTTGAAAAAGAAATAGAAAAATCTGAGACGAATGTTGATTGAAATCCATATTACTTTTGGAATGGATTTGATTGCGTGTGTTCTAGGAACGAGTTTGGAATTAGACATCAGATTTGGGTTGGAGCAAAGTCTCAGTTTAGGTGGTTTTTGTTTGTTTCTTTGGATCGGTCTAATTGTTTTATAGCCAACTAACGGATTCAATCGTAGTTAAACAGAACCCTTCACGCTGCTAAGCTACTTTATAGCTTACGACAAATTTTGTTTTCTACGTTTAGTCTTACTGTTGAATCTCAAAATCACACAATAATAGTAAGATAAGAGATGTGAGGTTTAGGAGAGACTCTTTATTAGATCAACCAAAGACAAAGATGGATACAAGGGGTGATTCGTCTCGACGATAAGCTTGACGAGACGAATACGAAAAGAATAGAGAAGCTAAGAACAAAGGACGAATTATAACTAGGGTTTTGCCTCTTTGCTCTCAGTGATTGTGGAGAATTTCTGGATGATTCTGAATGGTTTGAATGGTCTTCAAGGAATAGGGGTCTTCTATTTATATGGAGAGGAGGTTGGCTTCCTCAAGATATTCTTCCATATTTCTTTTGGAAATATTCTTCTTTGGCGTTGATCTCCTTCTATTTTTCTTGGATGTAGTCTTTTTCTCCAAGTACTTCCTTTTCTTTGAGGAGGTGGAAGTGGAAGCGGGCCGGGCTTACATAGTATTATTAATTGTGACGGGCTCAGGAAATTGTGCTAATTTCTGCTCTAACAATAAGTCCCCCCCAGTTTGGCGAGATAAATGCAATTTAATCTCGGCGAACTTCATGTATAAAAGAGGAGCTCAAGAGCAATTAATAATAACTATGTGATGCCGACGCGATGCCGATGCTGTCGCGATGCTGCGCTGACGTGATGCTGCGTTGCGTTATTGACTTTAGATCCGTACTGCCTCGTTAAAACCTTGATATGGAAAAACCCTATGGGATAAAAACCATAAGAAGGGAAAAGAGTACAGTGACGTAATCTTGTCCGCAAATAGAATATGCTTTTGATAATTTCTCTCGGACTTGACGAGATGACTCTTTTGTCTCGTCAAGGAGAATAGATTGCGTGACGATTTTTCTCGGATTCGAGCTTCGACGAGATTGGTTAGGGTCGTGCTTCAACGACACCGATTGGGGTCGCGCTTCAGCGACACTTGTTTTTCTCGGAATCGTGCTTCGATGAAACCGGTTGGGGTTGCGCTTCGGCAACACTTGTTTTTCTCAGATTTGACATATGTTCGTCAAAGAGGATAAATCTTCGGACTTGACAATAGCTTGTCAAGGAGTAATTATCATTCGTCTCGTCATTGACAGCAACTTGTTAAGGAAATGCTTTTGATCTCACTTCGGCATGGTAGCTCTTGTCAACAAATTAATCTATTGAGAAAAATAATTTACTCACCTTTCGTTGATGCCGAGATGATGAAGTAGTTATGCCGAGACCGCGTTCATACTCATGCCGAGATGGTGGGGAAGTAATTCCATAATCGAAGTTTTATCTCGACTCTCGGCATTCGGACTTTCAGATTTCGGACTTTAGGACGCGACGACTTTGGTTGGTCTCTAAAATCTAAAGGAATATTTCTGCCGGTTTGGACGCGATGACTTCGTCGACTTATTCCGTGTTATGAATCTGAGAGATCAGAAACATGCGAAATTTTATCTCGACTTTCTTCGATCTCGTCCTCCAGACCTCGGACCTTTCGTTCTTACTCAAAATCTGAAGGCATTCCCATCGGTTCGGACGCGACGGCTTTGCGCCGGCTTACTCCTCATGGATGATCAGTCTGTTTACTTTGGTTTTGTTTCTCTCGGGCTTGGCGCTTGGGCGAGACCGGTTTTCTCGGGATCGTGCTTTGACGAGACCCGGTATTGCTTTCTCAGGCTCGGCGCTTTGGCGAGACCGGTTTTCTCGGGATCGTGCTTTGATGAGACCCGGTATTGCTTTCGTCGAGACGTTTGGCCAGAACGTCGACGTGTACCTTTGAAGGTGAATAAAATTCTACAATGCTCATCTCGTTAGACAGATTATAAATTTTTATTGGAGTTATAGCTGAACCTTTTGAAAGGCTGCCTACGCACCCATGCCGGGATCAAGCCATTCGTAGTTCATTGCGACGAGTAGGGGGTATACTCCACCCTTCGACGAGCTCGCTCTTTGACGAGCTCTATTTTTTGCTTCTGGAGTCTCTTTGACAAGATCAATTTTTTTCCCTCCGGCTCGCTCTTTGACGAGATCGGATTTTCTTTTGTCTTGACCTCGTTCTTTGACGAGATCGGTTTTTTGTGCTGAGTCAATTTATAGACTTGCCGTTTCGGCGCATGCAAATCATCCGAATGACGGAGTGGTTGAATGATGGAGTGGTTGAGGTGCGTTCTTCTTGGTGTCGTCGTCGTTGCTCGACGAGATTATTATATATATTTGAAAAGTAAAGTTGTTATACTGACCTTAAGGTGGTGACGATTTTGAAGGCAACGACGAGACGAAGGTGATGTTTCTGCCATCGACGAGACGGAGGTGACGGTTTTGCTGTCACCGATCTTTTGCTTCTCGGCAAGGATTTCGGTATTGTCGGGTGTCGAGCTGGTGGCGCCGTGCACTTTGGAGCTGCGTTGAGGTTGCGGCGCAGTTTGGCCACTTTTGGTCTTGTCGTTGTACTTTTGCTGCTGAGCTTGCATCTCGGCGAATTGAGAAGCAATTTGAGCAGCAAAGCCTTGCATGGCGGCGGTTAACGCGGCGGTCGTGACGGGAGCTTCTACGTCAGGAACCGGTGGCGGCGGAGGGTTGACGTGACCGTTGGTCGCGTCGAACGATGGGGTTTCCATCTGCGCCGAGTTGACTTTGCAGTCCGCCTGTTTTTGGTGATCATCAGCTGGAGGTGCCATCTTTGAACCTTGATTGACTTTTTTCAGAGTTTTTTCTCCAGCCCCACGGTGGGCGCCAATTGTTGAATCTCAAAATCACACAGTAATAGTAAGATAAGAGATGTGAGGTTTAGGAGAGACTCTTTATTAGATCAACCAAAGACAAAGATGGTACAAGGGGTGATTCGTCTCGACGACAAGCTTGACGAGACGAATACGAAAAGAATAGAGAAACTAAGAACAAAGGACGAATTATAACTAGGGTTTTGCCTCTTTGCTCTGAGTGATTGTGGAGAATTTCTGGATGATTCTGAAATGAATGTTTCAAGGAATAGGGGGTCTTCTATTTATATGGAGAGGAGGTTGGCTTCTTCAAGATATTCTTCCATATTTCTTTTGGAAATATTCTTCTTTGGCGTTGATCTCCTTCTATTTTTCTTGGAAGTAAGTACTTCATTTTCTTTGAGAGTGGAAGTGGAAACGGGCCGGGCTTGCATAGTATTATTAATTGTGACGGGCTCAGGGAAATTGTGCTAATTTCTGCTCTAACATATAAATATAGTCAGATGTACATATTCTTAAATAATGATTTACATATGTTGCTAGTACTGTCGATAGGGAAAAGACTAAAATGGAGATATTGCATCTCAGTTCTCACCCACCGGCCACCACATGGTGAAATGCAACCCCCGGGAGAGAGATGACAGACGACAGAAAAGCTTTGGAGCTTTGTTAGTTTTTTAAATCAAATTTATTAATAAAAATTTTAAATTTCATAGAAAAATATATTAACCTTTTATGGGGGAAAAAGAAAGTTCACTCTTGGCTTCAAACACCAGCCACTCGTAAAACACTAATGTTAAAATCCATTGGTTAACTAAGACGTGGTTTAATGACAACAAAGACGATGAAAAATTGAAAACGATAAGGCTGTGTATTCTCATTGCACGTGAACAGCATAATGTTCTAATTGGAATACAAAATTTTCAAAAATGAAAAATCACGTGATATGATTAATCGAGATATTTTATAGTCTTAGATTTCAGTAAAAACTCGAGTTTTTTTTTGTCTATATATGTGTTTTTTAAAATGGAAAGTAACTCTGATATTCGTTTTTTGGTTTTACTAAATATATTACAGATGTAACTCTCGTATGTGCATTATAATACTATCGGATATAGAAAATCAAACTTGTACAAGTGGAAAATTCATTCATATTCACTGTCAACACCATTTTGAAGATAGATATTTTCTTTCTATAATTCTTTGAAGGAAATGAATCAGTGATGACCAAATATTTAATAAAATTTGATTTATACCAATTGTTTAATGGTATTTTTTTTTAATCTATTTTGTTCGTTGGAAAAGCTTTCTGCTCTTCCGTCCATATATTTTCATCTCCACTCCGTAAGCGGTGACGTATCACTCTCTCTCTCTCTCTCTCTCTCTCTCTCAAATATTCTTCAATCTCTCTGGGAATCTGCGAGCGAGCAAAAAGAGAGACCCACTTTTTCTTAACACCATATGAGTACATAAGATCCCTTTTAGTTTCTCGTGATTTCGCTTATCTCCAGGTACAAAGCCTCTCCCATTCTCTCTCTCTCTTCATCTCCACCTTTTTTCTCCGTTGCAGCTTTTTCTCCCGAGAAAGTGGGATAAACAAAACTCTAGATAGTTGAGTTTTCTCGATTCCATATTCGTGTTTCTTACGCGATCTCGTCTAAATGCAGAAGCGCCTTTTCGTGATAAAAAGTAATTGTGAACAACACTTGAGCTCTCTCAAATCTCAATCTTGTATTGAAAACCAAAAAAATTTCAATCTTGTACACTCTGATGATTTTTTTTCAGTGTTTTTTTTTTCTTTTTCCCCTTTTATTGCTTGTCACTGTTCTATCATTTTTCTATGATTCTGCGTTACTGAATTGATGATTAAATGCCATCTCCGCCTTTTACGCGCGAATGTTCTCTAATCATTTATAGCTCTGGGGTCCATTTGCTCTCTCACTGAATTTTGAAACGCACATGATTGATTTATCAATGCTTTCTCTGTTCTTGGAACTAAAAAGCTCATTTTCCATGTTGTTGAATTTCTTTGCAAGGTAGAGACTTTGGCGTAGTAAACTTGTGATGCACTCTGACTGAGAACTTCTCTTACGCAAAAATGGGATTTGAGCCGTTGGAGTGGTACTGTAAGCCAGTGCCTAATGGTGTTTGGACAAAGCAAGTGGATAATGCGTTTGGTGCATACACTCCATGTGCTACTGACTCTTTTGTGCTCGGCGTCTCTCATCTGGTTCTGTTGGTTCTGTGCCTGTATCGTATATGGCTAACTGTGAAGGATCACAAAGTGGAGAGGTTCTGTTTGAGGTCAAAACTGTATAGCTATTTGCTGGCTCTGTTGGCTGCTTATGGTACTGCTGAGCCTTTGTTCAGATTGATCATGGGGGTTTCACTTTTGGATTTAGATGGAGATGGTCTTCCTCCTTACGAGGTGCCTTTTTCTTTTTCTTTTTCCGTTTTTCAACATATGCTTATCTTTTGGTTTGTTTTGCCTTAACAGATACTGTTGTTTGGCAGGCGTTTGGCTTGGGCGTCAAAGCTCTTGCTTGGGGCTCTGTAATGGTCATGGTTTTTCTGGAGACTAAAATTTACATCCGTGAGCTCCGTTGGTATGTCAGATTTGCTGTCATATATGCTCTTGTTGGGGATATGGTTTTGGTAAATCTTGTTCTCTCAGTCAAGGAGTTCTATAGCAGGTTAGGAATTCTTGGAGTTTTATGGTTTTTATTCAAGTCCTTGTTCTTCTTTTATGGCCTGGTTTTTCTCATGCTTCGTTTTCATTGCAGTTATGTTCTGTATCTCTATGCTAGCGAGGTGGCAGCTCAGGTTAGCTTACCTAGACTCCTTTTTATCTCTATGCTGTGTGCTATGTCTAAATCAGACTCGGATACAGTTTTTTGTTTAATAAAAACTGAAGAGGGTGAATTTTCTTGTCTTACTACAGGTTCTGTTTGGTATTCTCTTGTTTGTGCATCTTCCCAATTTGGATCCTTACCCTGGCTACATGCCAGTGGGGAGTGAAACTGTGGATGATTATGAGTATGAAGAGCTTTCTGAAGGACAGCAAATATGCCCTGAGAGGCATGCAAACATATTTGGCAGTAAGTCACTCTACTTTCTTCTTATTTCTCGCTGACTGAAACTGGTTCATTGGTGACCAGAATTTGCAGGCATTATCTTCGGCCTTGTTCTGCATTCTTTCGAGTTACTTAAGTTTGAAGATGAACAGATGTTTAAATTTCATTCTTAAACACTTGTTCCAATTTCCTTGTTTGGCCGCAGAGATATTCTTCTCATGGATTAATCCCTTGATGATTCTGGGGTCTAAGAGGCCTCTCACAGATACGGATGTGTGGCATCTGGACACTTGGGATCAGACTGAAACTCTGTTCACGAGGTACTTCAAACACTGGTTAAAGTTCCTTGGAATGTATTTGATTAATGATTGGCATGGTTCTTGATACTTTATGCATCCTTTTTTAGCTTACAACAGTCCTGGGATAAGGAACTACAAAAGCCGCAACCATGGCTGTTGAGAGCACTGAACAATAGTCTGGGAGGAAGGTAGAGAGACATTCTCCACCTTATCGTAGATTTATTACATGTCTTAGTTTTTCCTCCTCCATGTCTTACGAATCTTTTTGAAATTTTGAAGGTTTTGGTGGGGAGGATTTTGGAAGGTACTTTCTTCTTTCCTCTCTTTTATTCTTATGACATGGTTAAAGTACATTAGTCACTGGTTGATGCCTTAGGATGTCGTTTATAATTTAAACGGTGTGATAAACATTTGCAAGGAAGTAGTGCGTCCTCAATTTTTTCTCTAACATACTTATTTACATTCTATGGACAGATTGGAAATGATTGCTCACAGTTTGTGGGGCCTCTCTTACTGAATCAACTCTTAAAGGTTTGTTCCTTTCCCGTTTTCTTTTTGGTACTAGAATGTGAACTATTTGAACCTACTTGAGAGAATATCTTATAAATTTCATTTCACATGGATCACAGTCCATCTCCTATCTACCAAAATGAAGATTCAGACTCTTTATCATTGTTTCAGTTTTCTTATGTGACAATATCTCTCATTTTTGTTCGTCAAACTATCTGCAGTCAATGCAACAAGATGAGCCAGCTTTTATGGGTTACATCTACGCCTTCTCAATCTTTGTTGGAGTGGTATGAAGCAAAGTCATTCTTTCTCTTTGTCTATATGGACTCTCCTTCATAGACTTGGCTAATTACTTAAGCTAAAAGTTGAATTTTTCGAGTGATTGATGTTGATGACAACATTTCCAGGTACTGGGGGTGCTATGCGAAGCCCAATATTTCCAGAATGTTATGCGTGTTGGTTACCGACTGAGATCTGCTCTGGTAAATTTTAAGTTTCACTTCACTTTCAGTTTGCTACCCTGGCCTTCTTCCTTTGCCATATGTGTGTCTTGTTTAGGAATAAGTATGTCTTACAAATATGGTTTTTCTTATTTATATATGATGCTTAAAGCACAAGGCAGGTCCAGATGTTTGATTATGCTGTATTTTATTTCTTGAAATTTCACATTGTTAAAGATCCTTTCTTTAGAGAAATACAAATTTAGCTATATTTCCTGATTAGCACTTGCAAGTTCATGCTGCTTTTCTAGTAAAAATATTGTTATGCAGCTGCATCTGTTAAATTTGTTCTTCCTGTTGATGTTGATGACTTCCTTTTTTAGATCGCTGCTGTGTTCCGCAAATCCTTGAGGTTAACTAATGAAGGTCGTAAAAAGTTTCAAACGGGAAAGATAACCAACTTAATGACGACTGATGCCGAATCTCTTCAGGTGCACATCCCCGTTATATTTTCGAACTTTCAGTTTTGCTTGTTGGGATATTTCATAGTTGTGACTTGTGACTCAGTCAACATCTGGATCTTGAATGTTCAGTTTTGTCTGGTTTTGAATGTTTGCAGTTACAATTAATGCTTT